CCCAAAGGAGGGGTAAAAAAAGAAAGAAGGAAGAAAAAGAGAAACCTGTGTATTATAAGATCTTACTTTTGTTTTAAGAAATATTATCTCCATTACCAACTAAAAATAAATTGATCTGAGTAATTCTGAGGCATCCAGCACCCCCTTCCTTTCTCCTGTGATTTACGCCATTGTTCAGTTTTTACAGCTTGCTGTTGACGGAGTGAGGTAATTCAACTACAGTTTTCCCAGTGTTTTTCCCCATGTACATGTAATCGACAGCCCGGAACACGGACTCCAGGCCGGAAAACCTGCCCTCCGTGGAGAGGTCGCCCAGGTCCACCTGGCACACTAGGTCTCCACTGGCACACATCTTGACCAAGTGGTCCATGGATGCTCTGCACTCAGAGAGGTAATGGTTCAGGAGGAAGCCCTGGACGCTGGCGGATTTCCTCAGCAGCTTGGTGGGTAGTGTTGCTGCTTTCACAGGCGAAAGGCCAGTAGGAGTTTGGTAGCCAGAGATAAACCCGATTACTATCAGGCGCCCTTTGATGGCCAAGGCATCTACTGCCAAGTCAAACATGGCACCTCCCACGGACTCATAGACCACGTCCACGCCTCCGGGGTATTCCTGCCTCAGGACAGAACCCACGTGCTCGATGTTGTAGTTGATGGGACGATCGCAGCCAATGGATTTCAGGAAAGCAGACTTCTCATCAGAGGAGCAGGTTCCAATGACGTGGCACTTGGCCGCCTTCGCAAGCTGCACAGCAAACTGGCCGGTCCCCCCAGCCGCCGCTGTCACCAGCACCTTCTTCCCTTCCTTCAGCCCACCGAGCTCTTTCAGGGAGATGTGTGCGGTGGTGCCACTTAGCAGCAGGGCGAGGTACTCGGGCATGGCAGAGGGCACCGGAGTGGCAGCGCTGGCAGGCACTACCGTGTACTCAGCAAAAGAGCCCGGCACCATGTAAGCCACCGCTTGGCCAACTGTGTACCTGGCACTGGCAGAGAGGCCCAAGGCGACCACCTCGCCCACACCTTCAAAACCTGCGTCGAAGGGCATCTTGACTGACGGGTCATATTGCTCGGCTGAGAAGTTGATGTCAGATGCATTAACTCCCACAAATCTAGAAGGAAACAATCAGATGAGAAAATATATTAAGATGTTTTGTTCTCAAGGCCTTTACAGTCCGCTTTGAAAAACACCCCAACTCAGTGGCTGTGGAGGGCTGGCCAAGCCACACGTGCTGATAGAATTCGACAAGACCAGCCCTGGTACTCGGCGGGGGAAGGAAATTAAATGAGCATAAGTTCAGCAGTGATTTCCAACCAGAGTTTTGCTGTCGTCAGTTTAGGAATAATTTTAATCACTCTAAACATCAAATTATTTATTTCATATGTCATTTATTCCCTTCCTCTTTCTTTCAAAAGGAGAAATAAATCAGAATTAAAAAAACACACAAAAAATGTCAGGAAGGCTTGTCATCCACAAACTTCACTGAAGCTGGGTTGGAAATTAATTGGCCTCTTAACAAAGATGTTAAAAACAACAGTGGGATAAAATATATTCAGAGAAGTAGACTTGTATTGATTTTGGCCACAATTTAACACTTCGGATGATAATAGTAATGACAATGGTATTATTAAAGATTGATGGGACGTGCAAGGTCACTCCTGCCCAGGGTTGTTGCAAAACACCGTCAGAGTGGCTGCAGCAGACCTCCCTTCTGATGTAACGGTGTCCAGTGTGAAAATATGCACTTTGATTAATTGACCAAAAATCGTCTCATAAGGGGAGAGAGATTTTATGGAACGTTCAACATTTTACAGCCCTTTTCAGATGAAAAGGAAAGCAAATCGTCGCCCTATTTTGCCTCAACAAGAAGCAGAGACATAAGTTGATTAATACCAGATGATTATTTTCACTCTGCTATCCAGAGGCAATTTAATTGCGAGGCCAGTACTTTTACCAGCTCTTTTTCATCTCGGTGTACCTCATAACAAAAATATCCTGATACAGAAGGGGAAAAAAAGTCGTTGACTGAGAATGTCAGGAGGTGGCTTAGACACATAATGGAGGACCCTAAAAATGTCATTTCCACCTGTAATGAAGTGAAAGGATGGTGTTATCTGGTGGCAGGAGCAAAGCTGGCAAGTAGGTCATTTTAAAATAATTCACTTTTAATTTAACTTAATAAACTGAAACTGCCCTGTGCCAGGATTCACTTCCACTGTACTGTTGGTCCTGCTTTGTCCGTAGAAGTGCTCCCTGATGATTCTGCCCCGTGCGTCCACAGTACTGAAAGCTCTCTGCATATTGCAGAAGAAAGCAGGAAACCATTTTTTTTCCAGCATGTCTGGCAGCTTTCGGAAGTTAGCACACCACCCAGCCTCCCCAGCAGCCACAGAATTCCATACCCATAAATGATACGCAGCAATGAGAAGTGGGGAAATGGTTTTTGCCGGTTTCTCATTTGGCATTTAATATCAAGATGCTTGCATTCTATTTTGGGGGGCGGGGGGGGCTGCTATCTCTCCTTGAAATTCACTTAGCTCTCAAGGCCTGATCTTTGTGAAAAGGGCCAGCTCCTCCAGAGCAAGCCTTGTCTTCCTAGAAGGCAGCCAGGGCAGCCCAGCTGCAGCCTCTCCAGCACCCAGCCTGGGCTGTGCGGAGGACTCCAGGAAGGCTTCCTGCAGTGGACGGTGGACGGTGGACGGGACTGTGGGGTTTGCTGTAGAAGCCGGGCTCCCACATTAACCCTTCCCCAGCCCCTCCAGTCTTGTGTCTCAGGCGCTTCTCCAGTCCTAACTGGAGGCCACCATTCTTCTGCTGGGAGACCCCGCCTAGGATTCAGAGGGACACCGTGATGGTGGCCAGTCCCTCGGGTCCCTCCCCAGACCCGTGAGTGGTGCTGGAGGCGAGCTAAGCCCCAGCTCGCCCCTCCCGGGCTATGGTGTGCGGCATCCAGGGCAGAGGCAGGAGACCCAGCAGGGCACATACCGGGAGAAACGCAGAGGGAGAGGCCAAGTGTGTGTGGGGGATTGGGGCTCTGCTGGGAGCTCGGTGGCCGCAGCCCACCAGCAGAAGCTGGAGTTCTCCATGGGGGCTTTGCCGAAAACAAAGTCATAGTGTAGGTGAGCCAGGGTGCGCCCCAGGGCAGCGACAGGACACCCGCAGGCCCGCCGTCGTGCGCTCAGTCCAGGGGGCACCCGGGCTCCGACTCGGCGGAGGCGCCCTGGTGCGCCAGGTGCTGCCTGTTGGGCGCCAGGGCCCGCGCTCCCCGGACAGCCTCCCTCGGACTTGCCCGACCCTCCGTCCTGAGCAGACTCGCCACCGCCACCGGAGCCGGCGGGGGCCATGCCGCTAGCACTGGGGCGAGGGGCTTGGGCCCAGGCCCGAAACCCGCACTTGGGCCTCTGGGCCCTGCAGCGGTCCTGCGGGCGCGCCCACCGTGGAGCTTTAGACCAGGGAAGGTCAAGTTCTGGGGTAGCCAGGAGGACCCCAGCGCCAAGGCACGGCGGCCGCTTGACCGAGGCTCGCCGGGGCCGGACCGTAACCTTGGCCTCGTAGGCACCCCTCTTTTTCGTGCCCCCCAACCGCCCTATCATTTTCTAAATCGCCTGCGTCGTGGGTGAAGGAGTGTGGGGCTGGTGGCGACTCCAGGCGCCCTGCACCTCGCCCTCTCCGTGTCCCGGCCTCTAGCGCGCCCCGCCTTCCCGCAGCCGTTTGGGTGCTGCGTGGCCACGGAGGCTGGCGGGACCCTCCGCCGGACGCGCCTTAGCCCTTACCTGGGCCTGGGGACGAGCTGCGGGGTCGGAGCCGAGCGCGGCTGCACCAGAAACTGGTTCCAGAGCCCGGCGCCGTGGGAAAGGGGCCCGGGTCCGGAGCAGGGACGGGAAGGGCCAGCGAGAGGGGAGGAAGGAACCACCACTGGGAAGGGCGCGCCGGGAGGCTCCCCATGTGCCCCTTTAACTTAAAATATGTACTTTTAATGAGTGCAGGGTTCCAGCGATCCGACGGCAGGATCCACTCCGAGGACTAATGTGGGGGAACCTCAGGAAGAAGAATGGGACGCTGCGGCTCTCCCCCAATACGGACCCTTCTAGAGTCGCCCCTTCATTTACATTAAAAAGTGCCGAGCCCCTTCCTCCTGGTCCTGTTTATAGAAACCGGTGTCCTGAGGGGGAGGGGGGCTTTCTCTGGACAAAACCGAAGGCGAAGACTCTAGCGCGGAGCAAATGCCTTCAATACCGGGAGACAAAGTCGTCCAAACCAGACCCTCATTTAAAAATATAAAAAGAAGAGAGAAGAGAAAGGAAGAAAGAAAAAAAAAATTGGCCTGGAGAGTCCGCAGAAATGCTACCGTTCTCCCGTGAGCAACAAACCCTTCATCAAAAACGCCCCCCCTTCTCTTTTCCCTCCCCGCAAACTCTATGCTCCATTATCTTGAGCAGAAAATCGTTAGAAATATTTAGAAACGAAACAATGTGTCACTATGGGACTAAAAAATGCTAAAAATAGCGCTCAAACGGACTTCCCGGAGGGTGTCTCGCTCCCTTTCTTTCTGTTTCCGAGGTCGGTGCGGAGGGGACGGGGAGTTGTCCTGATGCGGGAACCAGGACGGGAGAACTGGAGAGAGGGGCGCGACGGTAGGTCCTGGGGGAGTTACCGGCCTTCCCGCACCTTTCCTAAACGGCAGACTGCGTTATTCTAACTGTTGTGGAGCTTAAAAGGCACTGCCTTCCCTGTGGAGAAAGAATTTTATTTTCTGTGGAGATGGTACAAGATGTGCAGATGGTTCAACTGAAAGAAAAAGACCTCCACACACCTTGCCAAATAAGTGAATTTGGGCTTAATCCATTCATTCCAGAGCAGGTTTTATAATGATAAAAAGGAGATGCGGGTGCATAAAATTTTCATGCAATTAACACTGTTCTGGGGAGATTTGGTCTAGAATTACGATGAACTAACCTGCACTGAATTATTAAGCTTCTATTCTTAAAAAAGGAGTCGGTAAAATGCCACCTCTGCTGACCTTGTGTGCAAGAATAAAGGATCTTCCCACAATTGGGGGGTAGGAGCAGGTTTGCCAGCAGAAGAGGGAAGAGGGGAGGCAGAGGTTCCGCCCCCTCCCAACAGGCAGAAAGCTGGATCCATTCTCCCTGCGTTGCTGTGGGCTTCAAGGCAGAAGTTAGAGGTCAAGTTGTACATATCAATACACTCTTTATATTAAAGGGATTCTTGGCATAGGTTGAGGAGAAAAGGCATGGATCTTAAAGCAACACAAACTGATGAGCTCCACACGTGAGAACTGGTAGTCCAGAACTCTGTCCACGGAATCCAGGGACTCAGGCTGGTGACGCAGTGTGGGGTGGGGGCACCCGGGCACCCCTCGGGGTAGGGGACCATGAAGGGCAATGGGGAGCCTGAAGGGAGAGGAGTCCCAGAGGGGAGGCACCCAGGGAGTTGATGCCCACTTGTCAGGGGAGAGGCCGGAGAGCGAGATGCTGGGCTGGAGCAGCCTCCACCCAGGGCACTGGAGGGTGGTCCCACCTCGCGGCTGCTGGTAGTGCTCTAACCTCACACCTTCCCCTGTTTGCCAGACTCAATGACCCCCTCCCTATCCTGTTTTTAAAAGGGGTTTTACTCAAGCTGCTGTGTGTTTGCATCATTGATCAGTCAATTGTACTTCGTCAGAAAAAGGAAACAAAAGCCTATGTGAAACTTTTTGCCTGTTCAAGTCTGGTTGGAGGCTTTTCAGCCTGGGGCTCATCTCAGCTTCTAGGAAATCACTCATGTGTTTTGTATGTTCTGCGTGAACACACACAAGCCCTCGTTTTGAACATTGCATCCCATAATGAAGAAAAATCCTTGGAAGCTCCATTTCCACTGTGGCAAACTTTTTAAAAGACATACATCCCACCTCTACTCAACGCCACCCTTGGCTCACTAAATTTTTATGTTTCCAACAGGTTTCCAAAAGTTTATATTGTGATCAGAATTCTTCAGTCTTACAATCATATTTGGAAGGCTGATATGAATCTACAAAATGGACCCATTAAACATTGCATCAAGCTACTTAGGTAAGGTACTGTCCTTCGTCCTTGCAGGGGACTGAGACACAATTTACAACATAGTTACCATCAAAACTTTCCCCTCCCTTAGGAGTATTATTCAACCTGAAACATGCAACATTGTAACCCCTCGGACTGGCTCGAGCAGGCAGGGGAGTCCTACTCTTGCGAAGGGGATGGAGGAACCAGGCATGCCCTGCGCGCAAGTTCGGCAATGTGTGCACCCGCCCGGAGACCCGCGGGCCTGGCTCCATGCAGTAAGATACCTTTCCTTCCTGTTGCTGCACCGGTTACTAAAGATTAGTGAGACGGAAACACATTAAGGTGAGGAGTGTAGGGATGGAAAATAGTGTCCCCGAAGGTCTGCAGAACGTGCGGGCAAGTGCAGCCATGCCCCCGCCCTGGCCCTGGCCCAGCCGCCCAGGACGCGAGCCACACGCCAGTCGTTACACTCCGGGGCACAGACAACAGTCACACAGCACTGACACTGACAACACGCAGAGGACACCGGCGACAGGCTTTGACAACACTCAAAGACAGGCTCCGGGCAATCTGCAGCGGACGGGAAAAACCAGCCGGATCCCGGCCTCCTTCCTCCAAAGCACGTTACCTAAACGTCGCAGTTTGTGTCCAGGCTGCTCCTGCTCCACCCTAAAGATTCTGTGAACGCAGGAGCCCTGAGTGCGCGCCTGGGCCAGGAGCGAAGCCTCCGCGTCTGGGTCCCGTCGGTTTTATTTCGGGAGCGGGAGGGGGAGGAGGGAGGACTGGGGGAGGGGAGGGGAATCCCAAATTAAAATAACCCCCAGTTATGAGGAAGTTCAGTGGCATCGGATATTCACAACAGCAACAGTCACATCACATTCGCCTTCACCAGATGGCGGCAGGTTCAACTTCCCTGGATCTCGCCAAGTCAGGCTGTGCGCCCGAGAGCGCAGGGGTGTGGGGATGCAGGGGGCCGGGACAGCCCGGGAGAGACGGGGCCGGGGCGAGGGCGCGCGCCGGGCTCACCGATTTCGGACGAGGAGGTCTCCGTCCCCGGGGAGTGGCACCGGGCAGTCCCGGCGCAGGGTGACGGCCTCTCGGAAGTTGGGGCTCAGCCGAGTCACCACCAGCTTCTGCATGGTGCAGGGGATCGCGGAGCCCTGGAAGTCCAGGAAGTGGCGAGCATACGACATGTCCAGGATGGTTCGGGCCCCGGCGGGCGCCACACGCAACATGGTTCGGGCCCT